TCAGTTAATAGTTTTAATTTAGTTTGCCCTTATTTAAATAATTGTTCCTTATTAACACATGCCTTATTTACCAATTAACACAGATGATTCGATAGATATAAATAAATGTTAATAGTTAAGTTTTTTACGATTTCATTCCCGTTTTCGTTAATATTGTAATAAAAAATATGACAAATATATTGACTGTACACTTCAAATAGTACTGTACCGACACAAGCCTGCTACGATTTTATTATTAGTAAGCACTAGAGACACAAACGTACGGTAGATATGTAAGAAAATGTATAAAAATACTCATGTGTAAATTGCTGTTTTATTGAAACAACAATAATACAATTTGCTTTGTATGTGATCCGTAATCCGTAAAGATGGAAGGCATTGAATATGAATAAAAAATTTTAAATACTTATTGCACTATTGTTAACTGCTTTTTACACAATTAAGAAACAATCTAAATTAGATTTCATACATGTCGCCTATTTATAGTATCCTATTGTAAACAAGTCATTACACGCACATATTCCTGCCAATGCATGCTGGACTTCCCGACAATGCGCGACACGCTCGACTGCCAACACTTGCTTGTTAAGAGCTGTTGGCGGACTTGACACCTGATCGGTTATAATTTGTGAATTTATTTGGAAAATAAAGTAATCACTACAACTTTAACTCTATGTTACACAACAGATGAAACATGTACGAAGGGTTTTTCAAAATTTTCTTATATTCTTTCTTTATGCTTCCACCGCCCCCTTATTTTTATTCAACGCCCCCCAATTGCACCCGAGGCTACTACTGCCCCCTTGGATCGTTCCAGCGCCCCCCAGGGGGTGGTATCGCCCACTTTGGGAACCTCTGAGCTAGGGTTACCATATTTTAAAATAACAAAAAGAGGACACTCCAAGGGGCCCCGCCCTAATTCCGCCCCCTTTCCCGCCCCAGCCCCACCCAACTCCGCCCCTTTCCCAAAGTCCCCGCCCCAACTCCTCCCCCTCCCCTGAACGCTCTGACCCCCTGCTTCTCCCCCTCCCCTGCTTCCCACGAATCAAATGTTCATGGGAAGCCTGAAACAGGCAGGCAGCAGGTAAGCTGGGTCGGGGGGTGGCGCAAGGAGGCGCGGCCCACTCTGGCCCCCCGGCCGAGCGGCTCCGGCCCAGCACAGCTCGGGCCTTGGGGCGCCAGCCCTGGTTCCGGCCGAGTGCGCCAGCCCCGGCGGCTCCAGCTAGGCTCGGGTCCCAGGGCATGGGCACCGGCCCTGGCCGAGCGGCTCCGGCCCCGGTGGCTCCGGCCCGGCTCGGCTCGGGCCCTGGTTCCAGCCGAGCACTCCAGCCCCGGCCCCAGCGACTCCAGCTTGGATCGGGCCCTGGGGCACCGGCCCATCCAGCACCGGCCCCAGCACCGGCTCCGGCCCCGGCCAAGCAGCGCCGGCCAGCGGCCAAGCACCACCAGCCCAAGTGGCTCTGGCGCGGATCCAAGCCCCACAACCCCTCCCTATTTTCCCGGACATGTCCGGCTTTTTGGAATTTCCCCCCGGACGGGGATTTGATGACCAAAAAGCCGGATATGTCCGGGAAAATCCGGACGTATGGTAACCCTAGTTAAGCGGTAACCTGGGAGGCTCAGACCTGTGATGCAATACTTGGCAGAGGGTGTGTTTAAACTACTCGCACTAGTTGCAGGTTGCTAGGGCGGGTGGGCTGAGGGGCTCCGTTTCCAAGCAGAGGTGGCAGACAGGATGGGTGTGTCCAGAAAATATGCCAGCGAGGCCCAGGGACAAAACAGACCTGCAGCCTGCTGAGACCCAGGGAAGCTTAAAGCACAGTGGGGGATTCAGGGCCTGGATCCTCTCACAAGAACAACGAGGAGTCCTGTGGCACCTTAGAGACTAACAAATGTATTTGGGCATAAGCTTTTGTGGGCTATAACCAGGGCCGGCTCCAGGCACCAGCCCACCAAGCTGGTGCTTGGGGCAGCACCTGGAGGGGGGCGGCGCGGCGCTCCGGCCTGAGAGCGGGTTCGCGACTGGGCTTGCCGCCCTCCCCCCGGCGCTGCCTCTGGCCGCCGGGGAGAGCGGAGCCCCGGCCGGGCTCGCCGCCCTCCCCCCGGCGCAGCCTCTGGCCGCCGGGGAGAGCGGAGCCCCGGCCGGGCTCGCCGCCTCCCCGGCACAGCCTCTGGCCGCCGTGAAGAGCGGAGCCCCGGCGGGGCTCGCCGCCCTCCCCCCGGCGCTCTGGCCGCCCTCCCCGCCCGGCGCTCTGGCCACCGGGGAGAGCGGAGCCCTGGCGGGGCTCGCTGCCCTCCCCTGGGGGGGGGGAGGGGCGGCGGCGGGAGGCTTTTTTGCCTGGTGTGGCAAAAAAGCCAGAGCCGGCCCTGGCTATAACCCACTTCATCGGATGCATGGAGTGAAAATTACAATAGGAAGGTATAAATACACAGCGCATGAAAAGATGGGAGTTGCCTTACCAAGTGGAAGGTCAATGCTAACAACTCCCATCTTTTCATGTGCTGTGTATTTATACCTTCAATTCATAGCCAAGGCATCTCTGGGCTTGCTGCATCAGTTATGGATGTAAAAAAAAAAAAATGGCTTGGGCCCCGGCAGCTCTGTCATTACTAGGGTGACCAGATGTCCCGATAATATCGGGACTGTCCCGATATTTAGTTCCCCCATGGCTCCAGTGGGGTGGGGGTGGTAGGCCTGTGACTGCTCTCCCCCCCTCCCCCCAATGTGTTCCAATATTTTGTTCTTGTCATCTGGTCACCCTAGTCATTACAAATGAAGCACTGAGGCAGCATAAATGGTGCGGCAAGCTACATGTGGGATGAAGGGTGTCGTTTACATGCCAACAGCACAGTGAGTGTAGCAGGGAAAGCAACTCGGTGATTGTCATGGGCCTACTCTGTCGGCTGCCTTCAGCGAGGATGAGTCTCACTGTTTTAAGGCCTCTTCTGTTCCATCCCATTCTAGTCCTTCTTCAGATGCAGGCTGGGTTTGCTACAGACCCAGTTCTTCTCCGTCTGGCACCTCGAGGAGATGACGGCCACGTCGTTCAGATACGCGCAGCTTCCTCCTCCCTTCACTTCAAACCTGCAAACGGGAGACGACAGGGGAGAGCCAGTCAGTGCTAGGCAGAGGCAGCGAGAGTCGAAGGCAGAGACAGACCAGATTTCTGAAGGGATTTCCCTGTCCTGGACCACCACAAAGCTCCTCCCTCCCCATCCAGAGGGGGAATTTTAACAAGGGCCAAAATGGGAGCCGTGGGAGAAAGAGGAAATCAGAAAACAGGGTCCGTGTTGAGGTTCCAGGGGTCAGACAGGAGTCAGAATCCAAGTCAAAGCCAAGGTCCATACCAAGGTGCATGTTTAGCAGCCTGTTGGACAAATTTAGCGCCGGTGAACTAACATGGAGAAACTTCATAGAAAGAAAGCGGGACTCACATGTTGTTGAATTCTGTCCCATCCACCCATTTCCAGGGCTGGCTTCCTTCCCGCCGCAGGCCGATCCAGTGGTAAGTGCGCCCCTTATAGCGCATCAGGAAAGCCTTTAAAACAAGGTGTTTACAAAAATTTGGTCGTCAATTTCACCGAATTGTTCATTTTGCACAAAAACACCCCAACATTTTATCAAAACAATCTCCTATGGTGATTTTTGGGGTATGAACATTTCTTTTCATTTCAAAATGTCTTGTATTTAAAAAAAAAAAAAAATCAAGAGATTTTGAAACGAAGAGAAATATTCAAACCCAAAAATCGCAACAGGAGATGGTTTTAAATAAAGGACCATTTTAAAATGCTCGGTCTCTAAAGGAAACATTTTGTTTGACCCGGAATGACTTTTTTTCAACTTTTTTTATTCACTGAAAATGTTTCTTTTGCAGTCTGACCCGAAACGAGGGGTGTTTTTTAATCGATTTTTCAAAGTGGCTGATGCACCAAAAAACACAGACTTGCCCCTCTTTACCCAAGAGCCTCTCTACCTCCCCTTGGGGAGGTTCATGTGTAAATCAAGCCATCTTCTCGGCTCGATTCACCTTACTGTGGCCAATCTGCATGGAAGTCCTGAACTGGGGAAGGAATAAGGTCCACTTTCCTCCTCCAGGAGATGACGAGAGGAGAGATTCTCTCAGAGGGATCTGCGGTCCCTACAATTGCACACTGACTGTAGCACCTTGGGCCTAGCCACGGTTGGGTTCAGTGGTTGGGTTCACTCTCAGACAATGTCACCTCCCAGTACAAGATGCACCAGGGCCCCCCACTGCACTTTCCTTTCCTTTTATTTTTTTTTAAAGTGTTCAGAAAATACTGGAAATCAACACAAAACATTTCAATTGACCCAAAACGAATTTCGGGCCCTCCCAACTTTTCAGTTTGATGACAATTTCGAAAGATTTCCTTTTGAGTTTGCCTCTACTATGGTGCACATCCTCACATCGAGAGCGCCCCCTGCTACCCGGATATGGCATTGCAGGGGACTTCACCTCTCATGCCCCCAGTGGCCACTTCCTTGGCCTACAGTAGCCTTTCTCCGCATCACGTCAAGGGTTAAACCCCTTCCAGGGGCAGCATGAACAAGGCCAGATAAAGATTTTAAAAAGGCTTCAAATTAACAGCCCTTCTGCCCCTCTCCCTGGTTGTATCCTGCCTGCTAACCGCTAGAACAGGAGAGACCTCTTTCCGCTGCAATTTTCCCCCAGCTGAGCTCCCTGAGTCTACTTACAAGCTTCGGCTTCACCTCCCTTGCTGAAGGGACAGGTAGTTACTACCTGCCAGGTGCAGAACATGATTCATTGGGTCCTTTCCCTTGCGTTGCAGGTGCTGGGGGCAAAGTCCCATCACAGCTGCAAAACAATTTTTTTTTCCAGACTTGCCAGAGAACCAAACAAACCCCAAACACGTTATTTGCCCCAGTCCCTTACCAGGTCTTGCAGAGTGTCGATCCCAGCCAGGGAGGCGCCGAGGGAAGAGCAGTTGTACTGGCTGGATTCCCAGTTCCCTTCCCCTTCAGAGAAATAGTAGCATTTCCCTCGGTATCCGACCCAGCCGTCTGGGCAGCAGGGCTCAAAAAGAAGAGGCTCAGGGACACGAGACATTACCACTGGAAATAAGAAAGCGACGTAAGGTGAGAGATCTTTCCCTTTCCGTCTCAGGGCCTGGGTCTCCATTGCCACGCGGCGTGGGAGGGAAACACCACCCAAGCACCTTTCGCTCTCTCTGAGCCGCCTCAGTGACTGTCCAAGGCAGAGCGCCACGGGGGATTGGACCTTCTGTATCCAAGGGGAACGAGTAGAAACAATCCCCTCAGATCCAGGCCTGGCTGAGAGCTCAGGCAATAGCTTGGAGGGCAGAAGAAGTTAGAAATGAAGCCTTTGAACAGGCATCCAGGCCCCTGATTTCAGGGGTGCTCTGGGAGGGGAGTGGAGACTACGAGTCAGGACTCCTGGGTTCTAGCCCCAGCTCTGGGAGGGGAATAGGGTGCAGTGGTTAGAGGGGACAGCTGGAAGTCAGGACTCCTGGGTTCTTTCCCCAGCTTGCTTGACGTCACTCAGTGAATCAGTGGCAAAATGGCCTCAGTTTCCTTTTCTATAAACAGGAATAATGATACCAGCCTTTATACGTCTGGGGTGTATAGACCCCATGCTGTGACAGTCGGGGAAAGAGTTAACAGACGGACCAGTTACTCCTTCAGCCGGGACTAAGGGGCCAGTTAGCAACAGGTGCTGGAGAGATTTCTGCCAAGAGCCAGACTTCCAGAGGAAAAAGGCTGGAGGAGGTAAGAAGGAGCAAGGGCTTGTCAGGAGCAGGTTTTAGCTGCTTAAACACAGGATCCCTGGGCTGGAACCCAGAGAAGAGGGTATGTCAGGGTTCCCCCACCATCCCCAGAAAGGGGGGCGGTCTAGGAAAACCTCCCAGAGAAAGAGGGAACAAGATGCTGGTGACCTGACAAAGGGTGATGGACCTTACGGGACTCAGAAGGGGTGAGATCACAAATGATGTGGAGTTGCTAGAAGAGCCCAGGAATAATGAATCCCAGAGGGAGACTTAGAAGGCCTGGCCATTACACTTTGCGGGGGTGGAGGGAGGTTTGTTTTTGCACTTTTCAGCTGACCCTGGTGTATGAATCCGAAGAAGTGGGCTGTAGTCCACGAAAGCTTATGCTCTAATAAATTTGTTAGTCTCTAAGGTGCCACAAGTACTCCTGTTTTTTTTCCTGGAAGGGGAACTGCACCGAGATGACCTGGCTGACCACGGAAGCTGCAAACCGTTGCAGAACCCGGGTGACGGAGACAGTAGGGCTAGAACAGATGAACCCCTGTAATGCCCCTTCTTGGCAGGAAGGGGTGCTCTGGCAGTGAGCGTTAGGGATAAAAATGCCTATAATAGTTCAACCCCCCCGTTGTGGGAATTACAGTTGGCCAGAATGTTCCTTTAGTGGCTGGCGTTGATCTCTATGGGATAGGTTGGGGGGGGGGGGAGTGAGCTGCCTTGAAGGTACAGGACACTGAGTTTTCTCCTGCCTGGATACCTCAAGACTTATCTGTGTGAACAACTGTGGGGAGCAAGAACCTAAAATAACACTGCGGCATGAACAAGCCATTTGCTAAGCTTCCCGGCTTAGCCGTGTCACTTTGTATATTTTCCTCGTGTTCTGTCCTGCTCTGCTACGTTGAAGGATGTAAAGGGTAGGGGTCTTGTCTGTACAGTGCCAAGTTTGTAGAGTTTATCGAGCAGGGGACTGGACTCTCCTAGCCCGCTGTACAATAAAACACAGCTTCGGAAAGTTTACTCAATTTACTCAATGACATGGTGTAGGCACAAGGCGTACCGTACTGTCACAAGTGGGAACGGGTTGCTCCATTTCAACTGGCTCTGGGAACTGGTTGTAACTCAAGCCACCTCTTATTTAAAGAACAGGAGTACTTGTGGCACCTTAGAGACTAACAAATTTATTTGGGCATAAGCTTTCGTGGGCTACAGCCCACTTCTTCGGATGCATAGAATGGAACCTTCAAGTCTGTTACTGAGTGATTAGAGAGGTTGAAGTGTTCTCCTACTGGTTTTTGAATGTTATGATTCCTGATGGCAGATTTATGTCCATTTATTCTTTTGCGTAGAGACTGTCCGGTTTGGCCAATGTACATGGCAGAGGGGCATTGCTGGCATGTACTTAAAGATGGCAATTTTGCAACAGAAAAGCTTCACAAACAGACTCCAACGAGAAACTGCTGAACTTGAATTAATATGCAAGCCACTGCAATATTTTATTTTTATTACTTATATCATAGTAGCACCCAGAAGCCCCAGCTGAGATCAGGGCCCCGTTGTGCCGGGCGCTGCACAAACACACAGCGAGAGACAGTCCCTGCCCCAGCTGAGATCAGGGCCCCGTTGTGCCGGGCGCTGCACAGACACACAGCAAGAGACAGGCCCTGCCTGATGGAGCTCACAATCTAGATTGATAAAGACTGGGATAAAGGAAGGCTCATTCACTCCATTTTACAGATAGGGAACTAAGGCACAGGGAGATGAAATGACTTGCCCAGGGTGACACAGACAGTCTGTGGCAGAGGCACCAGTTGAATCCAGATCTCCTGACTTCCACCCCAGTGCCTTTCCCTCTAAGGCCAGCCTCTGCCATACAGGTAACAACCGTGTGCCTTGGGGCGTTTGACCCCTGGGGAGGTGTAGAGGGTGCTGTTTGAGATGATGGAATAGGCACGTGTTTGTTATTGGTATTACATTAGTGCCTAGAGGTTCCAGCATGGATCAGGCCCCTGCACTGCAGGGCACTGTACACAGATGTAATGACCAGATGGTCCCTGCCACACCGAGCTTGCAGTCTAAATTTCGGCTAAAACGCGATAATCGGGGGGAGGCTTGTTACAATAATCCTTAGCTCTTCCATAGCTTTACTCCTCCGTGGATCTGGGAGCAACCCGCTAAGGAGCACTTGGGGTCATTTGCAAGATGGGGGCGCATGACAGCATTCATGCTAACGCCTGCAAGGACACCTCACTGGGCTACAAGGAAGAGAGAGCGCATGAACTGTGCAAAGCCCCCTGCCGCCCTCCCCAATCCTGACCCTCACCAGCCCTGCTCCCTCGTCCCCAGTTCCCACCATCCTCAAGGGGTGATGGGATTTCTCTGCCTCATTCCGCCCTCTTGAGTCAGCCAATTCTGCTGCTGGTGGCTCACGGAGGCGCACAGAGAACCTGCCTTCAAGGGGCACCAGTGGTTACTACAGCATTATGGGCTGGCTGATGAGCTGCTCAGCCAGGGGCCATTTGGCCCAGGAGCCCCCCCACCTTCCCAGCAGGGGGCAGGAGCTCTAGGTTTAGGATTGTGACCGCCACAGCTCTAGGGGGAAATGGGAAACACAGAGACCGAGGCATGGGGAGCTGAACTCACCTGCCAGAGATACTCCCAGAGAGAGGGTGGTGGTACCCAACAAAAGTATGGCTGCAGTTGTGGCTGTACGGGATGAAAGAATGTTCCAGAGGGTGTCATGTGCATAATCTGAAAGAGAAAAGGAGCTGATGAGCTAAGCAATGCCTGTCTCTGTTTAACACAACAACCCAGATGGGTCGCTGGCAGTGGGGCTCAACCTTAGGATTTCAGTCTATGCCTCTCTTACTTGAGTGAAAGAACCCAGCTTCCTTAGTTCAGAAGCTTCAGCAGGCTCATGGCTGTACTTGGGCTAGCCACTAGAGGTGCCCCGCATTAGCATGGCCACGCTTAGGGACTGGAGTACTACAGGCAATATCAGGCTATTTAATTCCTCTGGCTACATCTGCAGCCATCACCCAGAACAGGTGCAACTGGCTCCTGGCTGGGAACGTGTCTCACACTTGCCTTCTCCCCCCTGAATGCTCAGCCTGCCAACTCCAGGAGGCATCACGCTAACTGCTGTGAAACCTGCCATAGATAGCAAACATACTAATTTCTAGCTTCATGCTAGAAGTGGGGTTTGAACCTGGGACCTCTGGCTCTAAAGGCATGAGTTGCCGCAGCTTGACCTAAAGGGGTATATCCTCTATCGTTGGAAGTAGTAGAAGGCTCATAAATCTCTTATACGATCCAGCCTCTAGAGACCCCACAGTGTGTTAACTAGGTATAAACTACACTATGAGACTAGACAAGTTAGAACAAGGGCACCCATTCTTTTCAGACTGACAGCTGAAAAATATTTCAAAAGCTCATCTTTTCCCACCCGCTCACCGCTCCCGTAGTCTCAGGCAAAGTCAGTCAAGCTTTGCAGAGAGGCGTTAATGTAGCTCCTCTCCCTCCCCTTGCAATGCACCAAGCAGCCAGTAGGGGGTGCTGCAGGCCAGAAGGGAAAGCATCTACTTAAGAATGCTTGTGGCTCATGTAGGATTGCCAATCATCCAGGAGTCTCCATGAATTAAAGATCCAATAAAACTTGGGGGGTAGGGGCTGCATGGGGGCCCTGCAGGTGCTGGGGCCCCCAGTAGCTAAAAACAGACCCTCATCCCTTCCCCCCGACCCACATCCCTTCTCTTAACAGCTTAGACATCTGCTGCTTTTTAAATGTCAACACAAAACCATCATGAGCTATTTTATCTGCCCAATCAAGTTCCGCCACCTAGTTCTGCTTCCTCTCTGACTCACCAGCTCTACTCAGCAATGGGGACCCCTGGGAAGCCCGGGGTATTTTGTGGTGGTGTCCAGAGACCAGCACTATGGACAACCAAAGGGTATTTTGGGACGTAGGTAGGAGAACAGCATGTGACCAAGCCTTCAGAGGCATAGGACAGGGTAAGGCTTCAGGCAGGCAATACATGCTTATGCTTTTAGAGCCAGAGATACTGGCTTCAATCCTCCCCGATAAACCAAGCAGGGACCTCGTTACGAGTAGATGAGGAATTGAAGTGCTTCTGCTGCCTAATTCATAGCGTCTAAAACCAGAAGGACTCCCTCTGACCATCTAGTTTGGCCTAATACAAGCCAGAGAATTCCACCCACTGAGCTCATAATGTCTCTTCGAGTTGGAGCAGAGATGTTAGAGAGAAACCGAGTCTTGACTTAGACTCCAAGCAATGAATAATCCACCATGTCTTCAGACGAGATGTTCCAAAGGTGAATCACTCTCATTGTTAAAATTTCGCACCGTATTTCTAGTCTGTATTTGTCTTGCTTCAGCCTCCAGCCATTCGATCTCGTTCTGCCTTAATTTTGTTAGCCTCTTCTCCCAGAAATCTTCTCCCCGCGTAGATGCTTATAGAACACGATCAAGTTAACTCTTAACTTTCCCTCCGTTAAGATAAACAGACTGAGATTCTTCAAGCAGGTTTTCCAGACCTCGAATCAGTCTTGTAACACTTTTCTGAACCCTTTCCAATTTGCCAACATCCTTCATGAAGTGTGGACATCAGAAGTGGAGACGGTATCCAGTAATGATCTCACCAGCGCTGTATACACAGATGATACCACTTCTATTTTGTTTCCCACCCTAAGTAGAGATGTTGTCTATAGGACACCCTTCCCCTGGTATTCGGCCCCCGCAAATTTCCAGAAGATTGAAAGGTTGCATGAACCAAAAACCAAGGCATGTTTCTGTGTTACACCCACAGAAATCCTCATTCACAAGAACCAGGTGAGCAACCACATGCCCCAGTTACTCAACTGGCCCCAACCATTGTTCAATTGCATGCATACCTGTGAGGTTGTACGTGTGCACAACCTTTGTCATGGACAGGTTTTTTGGGGATGTGCCAGCTACATTCTAAAGCTTACAGAACTTGGCCCTTGGCTTTTCCCACTTCACATCCTGCCGGGGGGAGATCTCCCGTGGCTTTAAGTATCCTTTCTGTGCCAATCACTCCATCCATCTCCCTCCATCCGATCCCACGTCTCGTCCTGCTCTCAGTGGCATTACGGTAACGGTGACAGGTTGCACATAAATTGGGTGCTGGCGCAGAGGACTCCACTGAGGTGACCAAGGCCCAGCTCCATGGTGGAATTTAGGCTGCTTCTTCCATGGATCTGAGCCCAAATATCTTTTGTCCTCCTCCTCCTCCCTCTTCGGAAAGTTTGGTTCTCTCTGTGGCCTGGTCTACACTACGAGTTTAATTCGAATTTAACAGAGTTAAATCGAATTAACCCTGCACCCATCCACACAACGAAGCCATTTATTTCAAAATAAAGGGCGCTTAAAATCGATTTCTGTACTCCTCCCCGACGATCGGAGTAGTGTCGAAATAGATATTGCCATTTCAAATTAGGGTTAGTGTGGCCGCAACGCGATGGTATTGGCCTCCGGGAGCTATCCCACAGTGCACCATTGTGACCGCTCTGGACAGCAATCTGAACTCGGATGCACTGGCCAGGTAGACAGGAAAAGCCCCACGAACATTTGAATTTTATTTCGTGTTTGCCCAGCGTGGAGAGCACAGGTGACCACGCAGAGCTCATCAGCACAGGTAACCATGCAGGCTGATAATCGAAAAAGAGCACCAGCATGGACCGTACGGGAGGTACTGGATCTGATCGCTGTATGGGGAGAGGATTCAGTGCTTGCAGAACTTCGTTCGAAAAGACGAAATGCCAAAACTTTTGAAAAAATCTCCAAGGGCATGATGGAGAGAGGCCACAATAGGGACTCAGATCAGTGCCACGTGAAAGTCAAGGAGCTCAGACAAGCCTATCAGAAAACAAAGGAGGCAAACGGTTGCTCCAGGTCAGAGCCGCAGACATGCCGCTTCTACGCTGAGCTGCATGCAATTCTAGGGGGGGCTGCCACCACTACCCCACCTGTGACCGTGGATTCCGGGTCGGGGATAGTCTCATCAGCTACACCTGAGGATTCTGCCGATGGGGAAGAGGAGGAGCAGCTTGCGGAGAGCACCCAGCACTTCGTTCTCCCCAACAGCCAGGATCTTTTTCTCAGCCTGAGTGAAGTACCCTCCCAAGCCAGTATCCAAGACCATGACCCCATGGAAGGGACCTCAGGTGAGTTTACCTTTTAAAATATAAAACTTGTTTTAAAAACAAGCGTTTTTTAACGATTACTTTGCCCTGAGGACTTGGGATGCATTCGCGGTCAGTTCAGCTACTGGAAAAGTCTGTTAACGTGTCTGGGGATGGAGCGGAAATCCTCCAGGGACATCTCAATGAAGCTCTCCTGGAGGTACTCCAAAAGCCTTTCCACAAGGTTTCTGGGCAGTGCAGCCTTATTCCGTCCTCCATGGTAGGACACTTGACCACGCCATGCTAGTAGCAAGTAATCTGGTATCATTGCATGACAAAGCCTGGCAGTGTATGGTCCCGGTGTTTGCTGGCATTCAAGCAACATCCGTTCTTTATCTCGCTGTGTAATCCTCAGGAGAGTGATATCACTCATGGTAACCTGGTTGAAATACGGGAATTTAATTAAAGGGACAGAGGTGGCCGTTCCTACTGGGCTGTTTGTCTGTGGCTGAAAAGAAATCCTTCCCTGCAGTTAGCCAAGCGCGGGGGTGGGGGGGAATTGGCCATGAGCTTTTCGCATTTGGCTAGCAGGGATCTTCCCTGATACCAGCCACGTGGTCGGGGGAGGGATAAAGCGATCATCCCAGAGAATTGGATGGGTGGGGGGGTTAGTTTGTTTTCTGCTGCTGAAGGTTAACAGGAAAACCGGAGCACTCAACGGGCTTTGCTTGGTATGTGGGAAAGGAGGGCGCAGAAGCCGAAAGACAATGGCTTACCATGGCTGCATGCAAGCCGAATTCTGTTGCCCAGACCTGCGTCTGTGATCTCTAGCAGCAAAGCCACAGGCACTCAATATTAAGATGCAAAATGCGACCTTGCACAGAAATCACATGTGCTATGTAATGTGAATAGTGTTGTTCACCGTGAAAGAGTATAAGCATTGTTCTGTAAAATGTATCTTTTTAAAAAAGTCTCTCCTTTTTTCCCTCCCTCCAGCAGTTGCAAATTTTTCAAGCCTCCCTCCTCCGTCCCGAAGGCTATCTCAGATAAGGCGTTGGAAAAAGAGGACGCAAGACGAGATGTTCACGGAAATCATGGAATCCACCCACAATGAAAGAGCTCATCTGAATGAGTGGAAGGACATGGTTTCAAAGTATAGGAAAGATGCCAGTGAATGTGAGGACAGGAGGGACCAACGTGATGACAGGAGAGATGCTCGAGATGAGAGGTGGCAGCAGGAAGATCAGAGGAGGCAGGATGCAATGCTGGGGCTGCTGCGTCAGCAAACAGACATGCTCCGGCGTCTGATGGAGCTTCAGGAACGGCAGCAGGATCACAGACTGGCGCTACAGCCCCTGTATAACCCCCCTCCCCCTCACCATGTTCCATAACCTCCTCACCCAGACGTGTAAGAACGCGGGGGGGAGGCTCCGTGCACCCTCCCATTCCACCCTAGTGGACAGCCCAAGCAAAAGGCTGTCTTTATTTTAACCTTTTTTTAGTGGCCTTTTCCTTCCCTCCGATCCTCCTCCCAAACCCCACCCGGGCTACCTTGTCAGTTCTCCCCCTCTTTTTATAATCAATTAATAAAGAATAAATTATTTTTAAACGATAGTGACTTTATTTCCTTTGAAAGCAAGCTGTGATCGAAGGGAGAGGGTGGGTTTCCTACAGAGAATGAGTCAATAAAGGGGGTGGGTTTTCATCAAAGAGAAACAAACAGAACTTTCACACAGTAGCCTGGCCAGTCATGAAACTAGTTTTCAAAGCTTCTCTGATGCGCCGCGCTTCCTGGTGTGCTCTTCTAATCGCCTGGTGTCTGGCTGCGCATAATCAGCAGCCAGGCAATTTGCCTCAGCCTTCCACCCCGCCATAAAGGTCTCCCCCTTACTCTCACAGAGATTGTGGAGCACACAGCAAGCAGCAATAACAATGGGGATATTGGTTTGGCTGAGGTCTGACCGAGTCAGAAACGAGCACAAGCAACCTTTTAAGCACCCAAATGCACATTCTACCACCAATCTGCACTTGCTCAGCCTGTAGTTGAACAGCTCCTGACTCCTGTCCAGGCTGCCTGTGTACGGCTTCATGAGCCATGGCATTAAGGGGTAGGCTGGGTCCCCAAGGAAACTATAGGCATTTCAACATCCCCAACGGTTATTTTCTGATCTGGGAAGTAAGTCCCTTGCTGCAGCCGTTTAAACAGAGTAGTGTTCCTGAAGACGCGAACGTCATGAACCCTTCCCGGCCAGCCCATGTTGATGTTGGTGAAACGTCCTCTGTGATCCACCAGTGCTTGCAGCACCATTGAAAAGTACCCCTTGCAGTTTACATACTGGGTACCCTGGTGCTCCGGTGCCAAGATAGGGATATGGGTTCCATCTATCGCCCCAGCACAGTTAGGGAATCCCATTGCAGCAAAGCCATCCACTATGACCTGCACATTTCCCAGAGTCACTACCTTTTGTAGCAGCAGCTCAGTGATTGCTTTGGCTACTTGCATCACAGCAGCCCCCAGAGGATTTGCCCACTCCAAATTGATTCCCGACTGACCGGTAGCTGTCTGGCGTTCCAAGCTTCCACAGGGCTATCGCCACTCGCTTCTCAACTGTGAGGGCTGCTCTCATCTTGGTATTCTGGCGCTTCAGGGCAGGGGACAGCAAGTCAGAAAGTTCCATGAAAGTGCCCTTACACATGCGGAAGTTTCGCAGCCACTGGGAATCGTCCCACACCTGCAACACTATGCGGTCCCACCAGTCTGTGCTTGTTTCCCGGGCCCAGAATTGGCATTGCATGGATAGAACCTGCCCCATTAACAGCATGATCTCCAAAGTGCCAGAGCCCACGGTTTGAGAGAATTCTGTGTCCATGTCCACGTCCTCATCACTCTCGTTGCCGCCGCCTCCTCCTTGCCTCGTTTTTCTGGTCCTTGTTCAGCATAAACTGCACAAGAATGCGCAAGGTGTTTACAATGTTCATGACTGCTGTCTTGAGCTGAGTGGGCTCCATGCTTGCCGTGGTATGGCGTCCGCAGTGTTCACCCAGGAAAAAAAGGCGCAAAACGGTTGTCTGCCTTTGCTTTCATGGAGGGAGGGGGAGGATGTACCCAGAACCACCCGCGACAATGTTTTTGGCCCCATCAGGCATTGGGATCTCAACCCAGAATTCCAATGGGCGGAGGAAACTGCGGGAACTATGGGATAGCTACCCACAGTGCAACGCTCTGGAAATCGACGCTAGCCCCGGAACATGGACGCACACCGCCGAATTAATGTGCTTAGTGTGGCCGCATACATTCGACTTTATACAATCGGTTTCCAAAATTCAAATTCTGTAAATTCGGATTAATCCCGTAGTGTAGACATACCCTGTGACTCAGTGACACTCCCCAACTTTTCCCCAGGGCATTTATACTCAGTTGTTACCTGACTTTGCTCCTTTCTCTGCATCTCCTTGGACTTTAAGCAGCTTCTCTGGCTCGACTTTTTCCTTCTGTGTGCCTTTCCCCATTTATTCCTAGGATCTCTTGATCCAGTTGTCCTTCACTGGACGTTGCCTGTAGGGCTTTGTAATATAACAACCAAGAGTTTTTACAAGCTGTGACTTCTGCAAAACTATTTGTTTTAGTAGCACCTCATCTGCCCAACTCACCCCTACCCCATTTGTCCCTTTCAACAACCAGTTGCATCCTGTCGGACCACTAGATTTTAAGCACTCTGGGGCAAGGACTATCTCAGGGGTGGCCAACCTGAGCCTGAGAAGGAGCCAGAATTTACCAATGTACATTGCCAAAGAGCCACAGTAATACATCAGCAGCCCCCCCATCAGCTCCCCCCTCCTGCCCCCAGTCTCTCCCGCCTGCCTGCAGCCCCACCAATCAGCGCCTCCCCATCCCTCTCCTTGCCTCCTGCCCACCACAATCAGCTGTTTCACTGTGTGCTGGAGGCTCTGGGGGAGACGGGGGAGGAGCGAGGGCACGGCAGGCTCAGGGGAAGGGGCAGAAGCCTTGGGGAAGGGGTGGAGTGGGGACAGGGCTTGTGGCAGACCCAGGGGTTGAACAGTGAGCACCCCGGCACATTGAAAAGTTTGCCCGTGTAGCTCCCGCCCCAGAGTCGGTGCCTATACAAGGAGCCGCATATTAATTTATGAAGAGCCGCATGCAGCTCCGGAGCCACGGGTTGGCCACCCCTGGACTATCTGCTTCATTACTCTATGTACAGCACCTAGCACAATGAGGCCCTGACCCTTGATTGGGCTTCCTGGATTCTGCCATAAGATAAATCAATAATGATGTGATGTAAGGGCTAATGAGCTTTATGGGGATCTTTTGTCATTCATCCTCTGGTTCATTAATACGTCACTCAGAACATAAACCTTCCTTTCTCCCACCTTTTGTCTATTTAGATTGTAAGCTCTCTGGGGCAGGGACTGTCTCTCCCTGTGTGTCCGTGCAGCGCCTGGCACAACGGGGCCCTGATCTCAGCTGGGGCAGGGACTGTCTCTCGCTGTGTGTCCGTGCAGCGCCCGGCACAACGGGACCCTGATCTCAGCTGGGGCAGGGACTGTCTCTCGCTGTGTGTCCGTGAAGCGCCCGGCACAACGGGGCCCTGATCTCAGCTGGGGCCTCTAGGCACAGCCATAATACACATAACAAATAAAAATAATCTGCATGTTCTTGAAAGACTGGGACTGTTTATCTCAGAGAGGAGACAAATAGGAGTGATATGATGGGAATCACCTCTCGTTATTTTATATTGTGTCTATCATGTATGTTAAGTCCCCCTAGTATGTTTTTTTTTAAAAACAGACCTTCTTTTGCAGCTCTTTGGTCACATTTTTGACAAACCCAATTTAATAGTAAAACCTTGTGCATTTCATCAGTAGATCAGGATATAGGGTTACCATACGTCCGGATTTCCCCGGACATGTCCGGCTTTTTGGTCCCCAAATCCCCGTCCGAGGGAATTGCCAAAAAGCCGAACATGTCCGGGGAAATGGGGAGGCTAGGATCTCCGAATTTGTGTGTGTGGGTCGCCCGCTGTGACATCATCTCGGTGTGACGCTCGGCTCCTGGCCTGGGCATGCTGGGGGCGGTAGTCCGGCCGTGCCTCAAGCTCCAGGGAGAGTCGGGAGAGGGGAGCGGCCGAGAACTACAACTCCCAGCGGCCCCTGCGACGCGACCAACCTG